ACCTCAGCATTTCAGGAGTGGAGTTTTCTTGGTTAAGCGAGCAATGAATGTGATGAGCTCTTGGATCAAGAGATCACTTTTTTTGAGTGACCCGCGCGGCGAGACTGACTGGCGAATCCGCTCGAGGCGAGCCGACGCGACGCCTCCTAATAAAACGCACCCTTTTACTTCCACTCAGCGTCCGAGGTGCTCGGCAGTCTGTCCCCCCCCCCCCCCCCCTTTCTTCGGCCGGGCCGCGCGGCCCCGCGATCCGCGTCAGACGGCCCGCAGCGCCTCGGAAGGTCGGTCTCCGTCTCCCTCGCACCCCCACGGGGAGCTCCGTGAGTGCGACAGAGACGGAGCGACGAAACGACTCCTCTGAATCGGCCGGCAGATTGGTGCAGGTGACAGACGCCGCGAGCGAGTCGGGGCGCCGAGACCGTCGAAACGAACGGAACGAGATCGGTGCGGCCGGCCTAGCCGCCTGCAGACTCATTCCGAGAGCCGTTTTCGTCGCCCCGTCTCTCTCGCACCCACACGGGACGCCCCGGAAGCGCGAGGGAGACAGAGCGACGACTCTCGGAATCCGTCTGCCGGCTCTAGGCTGGCTCGTGCCGGGGGACCTACCGACTGGCCACTAACTGGGCTCCTACATCGGGAACTTTCCCATTAACGATCACTTATGTAATTGTTTTTGTTAGGCAGTGGTTTTTGTTTGGCGTCGCAGTTCGGCCGGTGGGTCCGCGCGCGCCCTCATCACTCGTCGTGCGCACTGTAAGTCCATCGGTCACGTGCGGCTCGGCTCCCCGGCAGCGGCGGAGGAGCGGCGGAGGACCTCCGCATGGGAGGAGGAGGATGGTACTACACTGGGAGCGGGGACTCGGAGGAACGGACCACGGAGTGAACCACGGAGAGAAACACCATGGTGGAAGGCCGCACCAACATATTGGTGAAGATTTTGTCCATAATACGAACGAAATTCGTCAAAATATCTAAGGTACACTATAATATCAGCTGCACGACCTTAATATAGACAATTTCAACATTGACAACTTTTAGAGTGCAGACCTGCGCATTTGCCACATGATTTGCAAATGGCACTGATTAAGTCCTCAAAACACGGAATCGGGACGAGTGATTCTCCCCTTGCACTTGAATGAATATGCAGTGACGACCACCGATGGTCCCTGAGGGCAAGTATAGTCACTTTCAGCGTTTAAAATAAGCAATGTAATAAATCTGTGCCGTTTCAGCCTGCAGTAACGAAAAAATTGCCTATTTATTCTGGAATGAAACGACCCCAAAATAATGAGCAAATAAGAAGAAATCCTTGAAAGCCATTGGTCGAGACGGCTTAAGTGGGTTTGAAAACATACGAGCACTGCAGGGCATGCGCGGGGGCCAAGTCTGCGGCTTGGCACGGCGTGGCTGCTACCGCTACCAGTGTACCGAGCATCTTGGCAGAGACCTGCACGCGCGGCAGCGCAAGAGAGCGGCGCCACCCTTATTATGTTATTATTTTATCATCGGGACTGGCTGCGCTCATGACGTCTGTTTGTGTGCTCAAGTCGAAGACGCTAGGACCCGGCCAGGAAGATATGACAGTCAGCTTATGTCACAACGGACTCATTATAATATATTAACCACGCCATGTGGGTTTGATTGCTGGCTGGGCTGGACACACACAGACAGGCAGGGACACACACAGACAGGCAGGGACACGCGCGCAACACGCACACACGGGCGCGCCGCAAGGAACGTGCGCTCCGGATTGGAAAGAAAGAGGAAAGTGAATTGCAATGCGTTTGGACGATTCGTGCATATTAACGGGACGCATATGCCCGTTATTATGACATTCACATTCGTATTGGCGGCCTGGAGGCCCCAGCCCCCTCCCCTTTGTCGTGACGATTTGCCGATTTGGCGCGGTAATGGCGCCCGTAATGCCAGAGGTAATGCCATAGTGCCGCGCTTCAAGAAGGCCAGAATTAAGAAGAGAAAAAATTCCCTGACTTGTTTGTTACAAAACTGGCAGTTTTCTGCCTTTCAGGTTTTTAAAACTGGGAATCGAAAGACATGGCTAGGGCTGTCCTCTCCGCCGTGAAAACCGAGAAGAGGCCCTTCGTGGCCGTCCAGGAAACAGTTAGGAGCACAGCAAGACAATGACAGCAAAGCAATGAATTTTCAAACAAGACTTGACGAAAAAATAAATTACGTTTCAAACGATATTGAGTTGATTTTGTTCATTTGTCATATCCAGCAAAATTTTCTTTCTTTAATCCTTTTTTATCGATTTGGCAAAGTTAGTGGACAGAGCGTGTGCCTTATTCCTTGCGGAGCAGATCGGCCGCGCGGCAAAGGAGTGGTGCGATCCGGACAAAAGTACCTAGTATCTAAGTCGGAATGGTGCCGCATTTCGCATGCAAGGCGCTCACGCTCGCGTTACCTCACGCCCCGCCCCGCCCCGCCCTTCTCCCAGTCGCCGGCACTGGCATCACGGATGGCACCCAAGGCTGCCGAGAGGCTGCGCGGCCGCCGAACTGGCCGTGCTCGGCGGCTTGGCGTGCGTGCTCCCCGACCCGCGCCGCCCTGCATCAAGTCCCACTACACCGTCTGGCCACGCGTGTCCGTCTGTCTGTCCGTCCGTCCGTCCGTCCGTCCGCTGTCTGGTTGCACGTCCGTCCGCCCGTCCGGCCGTCTGCCTCTCTTACTCTAGGAAACGAGACTCGCTTCACTTTCTACGCGGAACGCCTCGGTGCCGCTTGACAGAGAAAGAGAAGAGGGGGGGGGGGATGCGCACAGGCGTGGTCACACGTCGAGGAAGTGCATAGTGTGAAAGATCTTGTTCGCAGACAACGGTAGGAAAGGAAGGGGTCAAATAATGTCAGTTGGTTTTCTATGGCCTCCAAGAAAAGTGACAAGAAAAAGAAGAAGTCCGAGTGCCGCGGCAACAAAGCCATTTTAACTCTACTTCCTTCTAGATAAAAAATCATGCTCATCTGTTGGCCCAGCAAACCGCGCGCCCTCTACAACTCCCTCAGACGCGTATGTAGACTCGAAAAAAAGGAGCGGGTCGTGTTCACTCACATTGTGATAGTGCGACAAATTGACCACATTTGGGCGTTTCATTAAAGGTTAGAAGTTCATGGGCAAAATTCTGCCTTCACGAATTTATAAATTTTAAGCTGACGTCTTAACCCTGAAAATTCATCCCTCTCTAAATTTATGAAGTTAAGCTCTTAACCTTAACAGATCATTCCAATAAATTCCCCTTGAATTTGTGAAGCGTTTTTCTGGGTGAGCCAGTAGTGCAGCAAGCAAAGCGAAGCAAAGCAACCCCCTTTCCGTGGGATGGCCAGAGCGGACGTGGGCACCACTCATCTGCCGCCAACCTTGCAGAAGCAGGGCGGGGAGGCCGTTACGCGGCGAGAGAGAAAAAAAAAGTACTGACACTACTTGTGTCAAGCGGTGACGGCTAATATGAAAGTGACTTTTGCTTCCAAACTAGAGACGGCCCGAAGTTTCCTGTGAAGTCCGCTGGTGTAACAGGATTTGCCTGTCTCTCTCGCTCCCGCTCCCGAAACCATAATTATCGGACACGTACGGACCGACCGAACGGCGGGAGGGGGAGGGGGGAGGGAGGGGGCAGGTCGGCGATCCAGGCCCGGGCCAGAGCGGCCGGTGCGGCTAGCGCCAAACTGGCGGGGTCCTCGAAGGGCGAAGCCGGTTCGTCCGGCGAGGAAAAGTTGGTTCGGGGAGCAAAACGTCGCGAGCAAGTGCTGCCAATTGAGTGAAAGAAAGCACCTCCTCACTCAACATTGACTTCCACACGCCCTCAACAGAAAAGAACTCTGAATATATTGAGGCAGAACACTCACAAAACTTAATGGTGTTAAGTGTGAACTCAGCACACTCCCCTCCAAGTGTGTACTTTGACGAATGAGCTCCCACTTGGAGGCACGTACACGGCATAGGGATAAGTGCAAGTTTCGGGTTTTTGGAACTGTACTCATTCATTTTCAAAACAACGGCACGAAGTTTTTAGCGACGTCACAAAATTTGAGGTGCGCCTTTTCTTGCAAATAACGCAATTATTTTAAAGGCACGACAGTGGCCTCCCTTTTACATAACTGAGAACTACTGCAGTTACAGCACTACTCGTAGCAAACCAAATAATACAGCGCAACTATTTTTCTGTACGTAACCGTGATGCATACAATTTCTACATAACTCAAAATTCGTGCTATAAAAAGGGCTGAGTTAATTTTCGATGAAATCGATTCAAGGTTATCTACCTCAACACACCGCGATGTTTTCTGTAATTCGAGGTAACCTTTCTCTGGGTGCGTTTACGTCGATCGAAGCAATCGGCCGCCAAACTCGCTGACTGCCCTTTCTACGCGCAGTACCGCGCAGCGCGTATCATCGATTCATCGGCGCGCGAATCGGGGCCGGTGCCATCCCCGGCAGTCTGTCTCTCTCGCACCCGTACGGGACGCCCCACGAGTGCGAGAGAGACAGAGGCCGGCAGGTGATTATCAATTACCGTACCTGTTGCTCGGTCGGCCGACAATGACGGAGCAGGCCGCGGTTTGTGGAGAGAGAGAGAGAGAGAGAGAGAGAGAGAGAGAGAGAGAGAGAGAGAGAGAGAGAGAGAGAGAGAGAGAGAGAGAGAGAGAGAGAGAGAGAGAGAGAGAGAGAGAGAGAGATTACTTAACGCCGCGGCTCATCTCCCTCGCAACGCATGCCGGCTGTCATCGTGCTTCCGACGAATGGCGGCTGCCATGTAACCGTAATGCAACTTGGACGCGGTTGCGCTGCCAATTCTGCCACCATTCGCGCTATTTGCTCGATTTTTTTGTCGTTTGTATTTTATTTTAGGGGTAGGGGCAACACGCCTTTTGCAACCGTTCGGTCATAAAACGTGGACCAAAAGTGGACCAAAAGTGGACCAAACGTGGACCAAACGTGATTCTTCACCGGTTCTGGATCTAAGCTCCGAGACGACTGCCTGCACTCACCATGGTGATCGCGCTGAAGCTCTTCATCGTTACTCCGTACTCCAAAGGCACGCACTGCACACTGTCACAGACACTCGCTGCTCACTGCTTGACCGGGGTGCCGTCCGCGCGTTGCCGCCTTGCGCCTCAACGTGACTCTGTGAGCGCGGCGGTCCGACTGTAGTGCTGGCCGAGCGGGGCGCGCGGGGCCCGGCTGGTGGGGGCTGCGGTGGGGGGCAGAGGGAGCTGGGCGAGGGGCGGGGGGCGGCGGGGAGGGGCGTCGCGGCGGCGTTTGACAGACAGGCGACTGCTACAGACTGCTGCAGGACCAACGGGCTAACTAACCGCACGCCGGGTGCGCGCCTTGCTTTATAGAAGAGCCACACCAGTCCGGCCGGGGCGTGGCGCGGCGCGGCGTCGATGCCGCCCGGAGCGTTGACGACGGCGACGTCCTTCCGTCGCGATGCGCGCCGAGAGCGCACTTCGCACTTTTATCAGTTTCTCTCGGCAGTTAAATGAGTTTCCTCCACAAAAGGCGGTCCAAGTCACGTCGGGACTTTTACTTGGGAAAGTCGTGGCACCGTCCCGGTCGTCTTAGAGTCCGCCGTGGATGGGCTTTGGCGCGTCTTGGCGCCGCTTGGCGCCGGCCGCCCTTCGCGGCTTCGCGACCAGCTCTTGCAGGGCGGTCGCCCAGCTTGAGGAAACGCCAGTGGCGGAGCCACGAAACCGCGACCGAAACGAACTACAGGTGCTTCAGTGAGCCGCCAGCGCCTGCCAAGTCCAGGGTAGGCCCGCCCGCCGTGCGTGCGAGCGCCGCGGGGCGGCCCACCCTGGACTTGGCGGGCGGCACCGCCGGCCTTGCCGCGGCCAGGAGCACGCCCCCCCCCCCCCCCCTGTGCGGATGGTCCACGTCGTTATTGTTATGTCTTGTTTGGCCCAGCGAGTCGTGGCGTGGCGTGGCGTGGCGCGGACCGCCGTGCTGCACGTCCAGAGGGAGGGACTCGCTCGGACGTGCCGCCCAGCGCCCCGCGGTGTCCATTTCATCATGAGTGGAACCGCAAGGAAAGTACTGCATAAAATGAAATGAAACAGTCAGTGATTCAGAGAGAGAGAGAGAGAGAGAGAGAGAGAGAGAGAGAAAGAAAAAAGAGAGCGCTCGGGGATGCTCCTTGCAAACAGTGTAGTTTCGTGCCGATCGCTTTGGCCGGCCGCATCGGCTAGAGGGAGCTGCATCGCGGTGTCGAAACAAATGAATGGAAAGCGATGCACTGGGAAAGGGAGGCGCCTTGATTGCACTGCTGCCCCGCGTTTGATGAATTACAGCCTCCGCGGAGCAGCGAGCCGCGAGGAACAAACGAAACCAACGAATGGCTTGGAACGATTGGTGGGCGCGGACTTAAGGGGTGTAATGGGATGGGGGAATGAACCGAAATGAACCCATTTTGCAGGTAGCAGTGGGCCACCTGGAAGCTGCAGACGCCTCTTCCGGGGAAGGGCACGCTTCTAACCTGAAGGGCAGGCCATTCTGCGAGCCAGGGGCTGCAGCCGCCAGAGGTTTCTTCCCCGCCGAGGTAAAGTGTCACCCTGAAGACGGCCCTGGATCCGTACCTGGCCACTGGGCAGCAATTTCCTGCTGTTGGTTTCGGCGTGAAATGTATTCACACCTCCGCGATGGCTGTGGCGGATAGTCGCGAAGCGGAAAATGGGACTACGAACTCGGAATGCTTATCCAACGCATACCAGTAGCTCCTATCGCAGCCCTTGTTCTCATTATTAGATCAAGTACACTCCTCCCGACACAACGTCCACTGGATAACCGTGCAGCAGGCCGGCTTGCCTGGCAAAGAGCACAAACCTCACAAAAAAAAAAAAAAATCCAAAAGCCGCTTTGTGCGGATGTCTCACACACGGCGAGTGAGCCCACAAGTTGCTTTTGATGACTCGTTTCCGAAATTAAATTTTGGCAGCGACATCATTAGTCCGAGATGAGACACCGAAAAACTCATTGCTGGTGTTTATCGTCTGGCTATTGGCGGCGAAAGGCCTGCACGGCGCGGCCGAGCGGAAGGGGCCGAAAGCAGAGGAAGCAGAGGCCACCTCGAGTCGCGAGTCGCAAGCAAGCCGCCCCAAGCCAGATGAATATTCAACGCTATGAGCAAGTCACGATGCGAGCCAGCCGCGCTAGCCACGCTGGCGATGCCGGAAGCGGTGCATATGGCGGACGGGGCGATTACAACAGGTGCAGTGACCGCCAGTGCCGCTGTCTTTATCCCTCTGTCTCTCTCGCGCGCCCCTGCGGCAACGTGGAACGCCCCTGGAGGGCGAGAGAGAGACAGGAGTAGCGACGAAAGCGGCGCTGTTTGGAGTCGCAGCCGCGGCTAGGCTTGTCTTTTTGTGTTCCTCATTCGATAGCCGAGACTGCGCCGCGCCGGAGGCGCTTGGCCCCTTGACCTTGCCTCGGCCAGTCAGCCTGTCTCACTCGCACCCCCATTTGCAGCGGACCACACCGACCATTACACTCTCTGTGCGCTGTCTGATCCTTGTGTGTGTGCGCTGGCTCGCTCTGCTTGGAAGGCCGCCTCATTGAATGGGGTTCTTGAACCGCGAGCACGTGCACCGGGTACTCCGACAGTGGAGGGGCCAAACACCGGAACCGACCCGCCTGCTACTCGCGATTCGCCCCGTGGTCGTCTTCCTCGTCGTCCGCCCCCGCGTCCTCAAGGCCCTCGTGGAGCATGACCGCGCCTGGCTGGCGGCGGCACGGGCTGGCAGCATGGGCTGGCGGCATGGCTGGCGGCATGGCTGGCGGCATGGCTGGCGGCATGGCTGGCGGCATGGGCTGGCGGCATGGCTGGCGGCATGGCTGGCGGCATGGCTGGCGGCATGGCTGGCGGCATGGGCTGGCGGCATGGGCTGGCGGCATGGGCTGGCGGCATGGGCTGGCGGCATGGGCTGGCGGCATGGGCTGGCGGCATGGGCTGGCGGCATGGGCTGGCGGCATGGGCTGGCGGCATGGGCTGGCGGCATGGGCTGGCGGCATGGGCTGGCGGCATGGGCTGGCGGCATGGGCTGGCGGCATGGCTGGCGGCATGGCTGGCGGCATGGACTGGCGGCATGGGCTGGCGGCATGGGCTGGCGGCATGGGCTGGCGGCATGGGCTGGCGGCATGGCTGGCGGCATGGCTGGCGGCATGGCTGGCGGCATGGCTGGCGGCGCGACCTGACGCACGTGCTGGAAGTCGTTTGGCCGAAAAGGAAGTGGCGCTTCTCGCCGAGCAACGCGCCGGCTAATTGTTGGACAGACACGCGCGGTGTGCGAGCAAGCAAGCATGCGCGCAGAGCGGCCGCGGAGCGAAATGTTTCCTACTTGTGACGCTGGTCAATGTGCGACTCTGCGACACTTTGCCTGCCTTCCAGCCAGCGCGTCGTCGCTTCCCACGCCCCGGCCACGCCCCTGGCGCACCTGATCCTGCACCGCGCTCTTAGGGTTCAATGGCTAGTTCTCGGACGACGCAGCGCGAGTGCTGGCCGTTGGCTCGGCGCGGCGTAATCTGGTTTCGAGCAGCGCGACGACATTGGCGGCCGTCCCGCACGCGCCGTACCTATACTGCCGACTGGTGCTTTCGTCGCTCTGTCTCTCTCGCGCCGCCACGGAGAACCCCGTGACTGCGAGAGAGACCGGCAGACTCTGCCGCGCCTTCGCGATATGCACAATGTCGGACATGACAGTTTCCTGCTCCCGGAGACGCGCCTTGCCGCCACGCGCCGCCACGCCACTGTAGAGATAATGTCGCTCGCCGTTCGCGTTATTCGTTATTCTCTGGCAGCTGCCGATGATGGGAGTGCCGACCGGCACCCGGATGCGTCGCAGCGATTATGGCGGAAGCATCCGTTCGGCGACCTCCTAGCCTGCCTGCCTAGGACTCTGGAACTCGGGAACGAACCGCTCAAGCGCCTGCACTGTGGAACCGAGGCACTGTGCCCTCGGCTGGCTGGACAACCCTGGGCCGGCAGGACACCGAGGCTGCTGGACACCCTAGTCCGGCAGGACACCGAGGGTGCTGGACACCCTAGTCCGGCAGGACACCGAGGCTGCTGGACACCCTAGTCCGGCAGGACGCCCCCGGACATCCTGAGTAGCCTGGGCCGGCTCGACACCCTACGCTCTGAATCGTGATACGATTTCGCGTTTCTAACGAACCTGACGTCATGCCCACAACCGTGTATCCATTCCTCCTCTCGGGCCACCAGTGTACTAGTGCACTGTGAGAGGGAAAATTGGTCGCACAGCTTCCCGCTGACTCTTTCAGATGAACTTGTCCCTGGGGAAAAAACACGAAAGCGCAGCCAAGTGAGACGAAACGCCGATCGGCCGACCGTTGCTTCAAGTTCAACTCGGTGGACTTCTTGTTTTTTTTTTTTAACGAGGCATTGTGACTGCAATTTTTATTTACTGAGGAAGTCTCCGTTCACGATGGCACCGCTAACGCCGCTCTATGGTAAAACTTCCGCTTGCTTTATCGAAATATAGTTGGCAGCAAAGTGTAGAACCTTGAGTTCATAGATAAGGGTTTCGAAGCGTATGTGTACGTTGGGAAAGCAATGCCTCATCGTCAAGTTTAAGTTTCTCATAGTGAATGTACATTGCAATTTGAATGATCATTTCTGTGTATACTGTGGTCTTTTCCGTTTCCGGAAAGACACTATATCGATGGCAAATTTCGAAGAATCTATCAGTCTGTATTCAGAGGCAATGGAAACAACGACGTGGGGAAAATGCCTGCAAAGACAAGCCCAACTTGGAGTGCCCCTCTGCGCGTACACCGTACTGCTCGGCCCTGGACGTCCTGGCCTGCCTGGCGGTCCTGGCGGCCCTGGCGGCCCTGGCGGCGCACACGTCCTTTCCCTTGCTTAACGGCCGCCCGCTTTTATTCTCATCTTTACGGGCCGGCCGGCGATCCGCCATGCGGGCAGTGTAGTGGTGCAGGCCGACCGGCCGCGCAGCAGTGCACTGCACACGCCGATAGCGGGAAAAAGAAAAAAAATGGTAAAAGGAAAAAGAAGCAGAAACAAATGGCAGGCACGCATCGCTGGCGAGGCGCAACTAGGCGCCATCTGAATGGGTCCCGGGATGCGCTCCGCACGCGCGGCAGGCAGGCAGGCAGGCAACGC